TGAATGCAGGGATTTGTGTAAAGTCATTCAGACAGCATACAATGCCAACTAAAAAATTATACTCAGTGTCTCCGCAAAGTAATATAGTACGGTACTTAGAGTACATGTGAGATTATACTCAGATTAGGGAGATGTTTTATCCGTATAACGTGTTATTATTCTACCTAACAATGTATTTAATGAAATGAATGCAAAACAAACTCAACGGCTAAAAGGTTTCATTGAAAAAACTACCCGTAGTCTTGACTAATAAAACAACTGCAACCCGACACAGATTAAACGCACTTACAAACACAATCATAATCTGGTTAGTCTGTATCACTCAACGAGGCCGCTTACTTTGCCCACAGTATGAAAGTATTGGGCAGTTCAGTAATTAGGAGCCAAAACCAGGCAGGTACGCTGGTCACACTTGACTGGTCTGACTGATGATTAGGTCGTCTGACAATTGTGAGTGAACCATAGCAAGAAGTATCTGCGAAACTATTTGCTCCTTTTATGGGACCGATTAGTTTTATGACCATGGGCCTCGGCACAAGCGTGGTGTTGGAAGACAAGTTATACATGTACATCCGATATGGTGACTGTTTTTCGCTATTCATATTCTAAATACATTCATAATACCACAACATTTTAGTACTCCTTGAAACTTTACAATCACTTCAATATGTACAATAGATTGAACGAGAACACTTGATATATTGCAGATTATTAAATCATTGTCTCTATTATCAGCCGCTACGTTTGTATCGTTTGCATTGTACAAAGAAATATTTTATCTGTCCTTTTGCAGATTTAGCCTCAGAATGTGCTCATTCGAATTAGGAACGAAAATAATTGCTTATCATGAGTATATATGATACAGTTAAAAGTTACTTGTACACTGTAGACGTATTCACTTTAAAGTCGCATACGACCTTCGCGAGCGAGTTGAATGATCCAGGTTAATTGGAACGAAGTCTAGAGAGGGTTATACAGTTTTGTATTTGGTAATGTGTAGGTTTGTTAAATATAATTTTTTTCATTCCTTTTATTTCAATATGTAAAAACATAACTATGCGCTTAAAAACAGAGCTGACTTGATGGGAGATAGCCACCTCAGATTGTCTGTTGGACACGGTTTAACCTTACTGTGTCCTCACCCTGGTTGTTGTTACCGTTGTTATAAGGGATTAAGAGCTACGGCTCATTGCATTTTTGGTTACAGTCTGTATCACTAAAGTGGACATGTGCAGGTGAACTCTGTTCAATTAGTATATGAAATGCCCCAAAATGTGAACTCCAGACAATAATAACCTGAGGGTAAATCCACGTGCGTCTGCCTTTCCCCTCGTTCACCTTCGAAATCCTTGATTATTATATCATGCCAGAGTTCTGAAATTCAGTGACAATGTTGCTGAACAATAGAATCTGATGGACGTTTTGTGCAGAACCTGTTTGACACTATGGGTTCCAGGACCACTAACACTCTGAGCTGAAAAAGTTTGGTCCTAACCGCACCCAACATCTACAAGTAATTAACAGTCCCATGCTGAGACCTTTCTCAAAATTCAGACCGGTGGCAGGTTGCCAACAAAGAGAAGAAAATATCGCAACCCCGACACGAGTGTGCTCAGTCAAACAAAGAACTTACGACCGGCAGAAAACAACTCCAGTTGAGTATGCCGATGCTGTATCTCAGCCGTGTTGGCCTGAAAATTTAAACATGCTAATTAAATCCAAATTCCTATAATTATTTTTAATAGAAACCGTATCTTAATTTGTTCTTGCACTGCATCATATCGTGTATTTCATCTGTATATGTGTAATGTGTATATGTATCAATGACTACACTTATACCGCATATTCTGCAACAGACTATAATTAATCACCTTATTATTGTCTCTCCATTTACCATGGCTGACTGCACTAATACCCTTTTAACAGTGGACACCGATATCAGTATACATGTAGGCTTTTTGTTCAAAAAGGAATATGCAGGAAATTATATGTAACAATTAACTGTGTACTAATTACATGTTTGAATGTTATCAGTTTTACGTTCTGAGATACAGTGATGTAAGCATCTTCTAAAATCTTCTAAAAATATAATAAAATACAAAACTCTCTGCCGTAATTTTTTGTGGAAATCATTCGATCAAGTAAAAAATGACTGCGTGACAAGACGAATCAACTATTTATACCCGATAAAAGAAACTGCCGTATTTTAGGAACAGTGCTATAACAAGACATTTGGAATTTCTAACAAGCAGATACATTAGAGACAGTGACTAGACTACAGGTACGTAATCCGTATCAATCAAAGGTGTAAAAAAACTGAAAATCATATCTGTCGGAGACCTACCAAATTACCAAGTTTTATCATTACTATATTTATTACAATGTTAATACTTTAGTGATACATTTTTTAGAGGAGAGGGCATACACACAAGTATATTGCTTCCGTGTGTGAATGCAGGTTGTACTTGGTATCTCAGTTCTCAGTTTCATACCGGTTGTATAACTGAATTTGTATATGGAACCATGCGTACAGCATGACAATTACTTGCTATTCGTCAGTTTACAACACACATAACACGGTCAAAAATTTTAGGCACCGCTTTTGCGAGTTATGAAGTACAGTAATGTTTTATTAAAATCTATTTCAATTTGTTTTCACCATTTTCCCTATTGACAGTCGTTGTTACGTGCGTCACTAGGTAATTAGTACGGATTGACCTTGTTTATTGTTTCTATACTTTGAGGATTTCTGTGACAACTGGCGGACGTAATTCAAACTCCTTCCGCACTGACACCGCATCAAATATATTTGTGTACCGATTACATAACTCTAATGGACAGGGTGGGGTGGTAGTTCACCGGACGACACTGTGTATATTGGGCGGCTCCTTTGATATCTCCTCCAAACATACGTTTATTGAATGACCCCCTTAAACGATAATACACATCTCGATGAATATATCAAGGCACTAATTCATCTTTCATAAACATTTTTTTGTCTTTGTGCTTAATATATCCACATATCAACGAACATTTGTAAAACATGTATCCTAAAAAAAAAAAACATTTTCAGGCTAGGTATTTGCCCACAGCAACACCTGCATAACTGTTTATTCACGCGTGGTGTGGTAGATCGTAATTGACCGAGAGCAGGTATTGTAGAATCACCTGTAAATAAGGCCGACACTGTAATTAGATACAACGTACTAATGAGAATTATCATAAGGAGGCTGTTGTTTTTTCTGAACTGTTACCATTTTCATACCAAAAGTGACAATGCAGTTAAAAGTTGCTTTAGTGTCACAATATTCACTCACGTTTTCCTCAATCGCATTGAAACATAATTCCCACTGGTCAGTTCGAAACCGCATGTAATTAAATAATTATTTCGAGATTTCGTTAGAATGTAAGATATTCAGCCAAACGTTATGCAATAAAATACGAATAGTTTTTTTCATTAAAATACGCGCACGCGTACCTGTATATTGCATACCTGGTGTCACGTAATTGCCCAGTGTGATGTATCAACGGGACATCAAATGGGAAATGAAATAGAAACTAACTAAAATTTAATGTTGTGGAAAATAACTCCAATGAATTGGAGTACACGCACATGATTTCGTATGATAAACTGTCAAAACGTTTTGAGAGGTAAGGCCGGGTTCATTAAAGATCGCTACAATATGTAAAACAGGTGAAATTTGTAGAACTAAAGGAAACATCCAACCAAATGCCCTTTTTAAATAGTAATGTAATGATATAATATAAAGTATATTTCACATGATACAATATACTTTGCAAACAGTTAGTTGATGCTTGAAAGGGACTGACGTAAACATGGACGAAATATTTTAATAACGCCGTAAAATAGTTGAATTAAGTAAAAATGAGTTAAATTTTGTGTCATGATACTTCAATAAATACATTTAATGTATTTGCGAAACAAAATCATGAGTTTTAAGTAAAGGAACATATTCTCGCCCATGGGCCAAACCTTTTTCTCGCCCATGGGCGAAATATTTCAATATCGCTATAAAATAGTTGAAATAAGTTAAAATGAGTTAAATTTTGTGTCATGATACTTCAATAAATACATTTAATGTATTTGCGAAACAAAAACATGAGTTTTAAGTAAAGGAACATATTCTCGCCCATGGGCCTGCCCATGGGCCTACCCATGGGCCAAACCTTTTTCTCGCCCATGGGCGAAATATTTCAATATCGCTATAAAATAGTTGAAATAAGTTAAAATGAGTTAAATTTTGTGTCATGATACTTCAATAAATACATTTAATGTATTTGCGAAACAAAATCATGAGTTTTAAGTAAAGGAACATATTCTCGCCCATGGGCGACATAGTCTAAATATTAAGTTTTTAAACATTTTTTTTTTCATTTTTTCTTCCTTGGTATGTTCCCATGAAAACGGCATGTTTAATTTTGTAAATACCTTTAACCGAGACTGGGCAAAGACCGTAGAGTTTCTGGACTTTTGGGTTTCCAGAATTAAAATGGGACGTGTTCATTTAACATTCTCACACCCGTGAAGATCCTAGTAGAATAGGTCTTCAGCAACCCTTGTATATTTGCTTCAAAAGGCGACTATCCTTGTCGTAAGAGGCGACCTACGGGATCAGGTGGTCAGGCTCGCTGACTTGGTTGATGCATGCCATCGTATCCGAATTTCGTGAATCGATGCTCATGAAGTCAATCACTGGTCCAGACTCGATTATTTATAGACCACCGACATAGAGCTGGAATGTTGATGCGTGCGGCGTTAAACAAGAACAAACTAGACATGTTGATGATCTCGCATACATATTCTTATTTTTACCTCACGACAATGAAGAAGACACAGACAATATACTTATTATACTAACATACGAAATTCCGTCAACCACAGTACAGCATAAACATCAACACTTTTACAAACAATGAACATTCACCGTGTCAGTAGCACCTCACAGCATATCAGTAATAAAGGAGATATTTCACATTACCTTTCTTAATCATACTTGTCAGGTGAAACAAGCAAATCATGATGCGTGGAATGGTCATACTCGATCTTGAACGTTCGTTTTACCTTCACAGATTATTACAACATGACAACATCAACAGCGATACTGCAGCTATTTCTTCTTCTACTTCCTTGTTGGTGGGACAGATGAACAGTGTGTTTCAACTAGACAGTATAAAAAACTACAACGTACACAAGTCAACCGTGAACGACAAATGCATTGGGCCTTTTAAACGGAAGTATTGGATTTATTTATGGATACAGATCCTAGTGTAGACAACCTAGTGACAATCCTAGCAAATGCAGTGCACTTGTGGGAGGTTAATAGTGTGTATTGGTGTATTCGTATTTATAGTCCAGGAGTGTTGCTACAACATCAGACAGATTACAGTTAGCTATCAACACAATGTGTGATTACGGTGAAGTTTATGATTAGCTAAACAATGATACCTGTACCTGGCTTCTATTCCTAACATGGTTAGTTTATTGTGGTTTCGTTAAGCCCTCTTGAGCTTCGTAATAAATATCAGTCAATCTGTCAAATATACTGACCAATGTATTCGTCAGTTTGTAAAACGATTGAACTTATTTACGCATTTTGTAAATTGCCTTTGTGAATCAACTTGACTGATTTTACACGTCGACTTTAACATATATATCAGACTTGACTGTTGAAAATAATGTTTTCGAGCTTAGATATAAGGCCCAACGCCGTGTTTTAGCTTTGCTCCAATGTGGAAGTTAACCGCTTGCTTTAAAAACTGGACGCTATTCTCAACCACCAACCCTACTATGTAATAGAATTTATACTGTTTTATTACTTTAAATATCTGCACTGTTGAAGATGAAAAGCACTTTCTTATATGTTATGTATGTGTTTATGAAGATTTAAGATATGAATTATTTTATGAAGCTTTAAATGTATCCCAGAGTTTTTATACCCTTGATGATATGCATAAGTTATGTCTTATATTAAAATATCGGACGACTTAAAGTATTGTTTATCTAAGACCATTTTAGGAATGTATATTAAACGATTCTTATCTTTTAAAGGAATTGTTTTTAACAATACTTATATAGTGATGAAATTGTTATAGCTTCATACATTTTATGAATTATATGTTTTATATGTTTTCATCGTGTCTCATAAGCCCTATCCGGTCTGTTACACTAAGAAACTCGTGTTATCGTTGACATCCATCTCTGGTCCAGCTCGAACTCAAGGAATATTATGATATTACGTACGCTTTAATTGACATATCTGATACGTTGTATTGTAAATATATGCGGATAACTTTAATAATTACTGATATTCCAAAATATAAATTTTGCACAATAAAAAATATTTCATTTTAGAGACAAATTTGTACGTTGTGATACAATTTTAGTAGTATCTGACTATATTTCTTTTTTGGCTTACTTTTGTCTGATCATCTTAACTTTTGATGCTATGATTAGATTATAATGGTATGGCGAAGGCTGCAACAAGCTCTGCTAGTAGAGCACTTGATTTAGAATTGTAAAATATGAATTGTTATGTAGTAGGGAATTCTAAACTTTTACCAATTTATATGACAACATGGTATTGTCTGTTACTGATTATCGTCACGATATGGCTGAAATATTGCCGATGTGACGTTAAACTTTAACTCACTCACTGTTACTGATTATGGTGCATCTATCGGGGTTACCTATGACATGTCCTGTATTAATGTCCTTCAGAGTACAGCTATGCGTTACATTTTAGGGTTGAACGAGATCGGGTGTTCAGGCTCGCTGTCTTGGTTGATGCATGTCACCGTATCCCAATTGCGTGGATCGATGCTCATGATGTCAATAGGCATAGATATATACAGGGTATCTCCCACATTCACCACAAACAACATGCTTTGCAGTCGACGACTTCACAGCAAGAGAATATTTGAATGCCTGGACATGAGTCAATTTCTAGTCCCTCATATTTCAGCACCATACAATAAAATTGACACCACTTGAATATCTAAAACTTTGAAGAAAACAACATATGGCAAGGGTCTAAGTTTCGACCGATATTTTAAGAACCAAATAATGCTTTTCTAGATTGCAACGAAGAATAATTCCAGGTTAAGTTCCAAGAATATATGACAGTATTACCCAAATATTTGTAAGATGACAGATGCGATTGTCCTCAAAATACCATTTCTCAGGCCTAGAAAGGAAAAACACAACTTTAGTTTTATCTAGATTTACGTTTATGTCATATTGATGACAATACTGTGATGACACGTTAATTCGTTTTTGTAAACCTGCAATACTGCCTGATAAAAGGACAACGCCATCCGCAAACAAAAGTTAGAATAAATAAGTCAAGTCTGGATGTAACTCGATGCCAGGACAGCATGATTTCCAACTTCATCAACAAGTTCATTAATAAACAATGAAAACAGCAGGGGGATGAGACACATCCCTGACGAAGTCCTACGCTACAGTGAAACATGTCTGATACTAAAATGATAAATCTAACGCACGATTTTATTTTCATAAATAGACTTGATACAACCCAACAATTTTTGGCGAAACGCCCATGTGTTGTAGGACTGACCATAATTTAGAACGATTAACTTACGAAAGCCTTAGCGAAATCCACAAATAATAGCTGAATAACCCTGCCGGAAACCAAAACCTGCATCACACCAAAATCTTAACCCAGCATTCAAAACTGAAATATATATTTTACTGTAAACACTCAAAATTGTTATACCTCTATAGTCAGATCGACCACCCTCAAAACGTCCATTTAATAAAACAGTAAGAAGCGGTAATAAAATATCACTTGAAACTGCATCTGGTACATCAAGCTGTTGTCTATCTGGGTGTATTCAGTATCAGTAGTCGAATTTATTCATACTTAAATTTGAAGCTGGTTTTCATATTTGAGTAAATGGATAAATATGAAACCGCATAACATATACAGACCGATTGTATTGCAGCCTCGACGGAAATTATGAGTAACGAATATACCTGTTTGCCTGTATATTGAACGTCTCATTATAAAGCAGGCCCACATATGTACAAAAGCGGGGCAAACCTACAATGTATACGCACTCACTCGCATATAGAGCAGCACTGCTTTGTAGTAACAGTGACTATAACAGGGACAGTAATAATATAACATTCGTGTGGGTATCATGATCATACCTATTTAAGAAAACGTGAGGCAGAATCCTACTATTACCTTCGCCCAGTCGCCCATCTCTCAGCCTGATCTCGTTCTTGTAAAGTTAGTTTTACACACACTCATATAATCAGCTCTGTCCCTATACTGTATGCACGTTTTGCTTTCTGTGCGGACACACATTTCCGTTACTCTTGGAGAATATGTGATCATAATTATGAACTGCTTTATCAATTTTAGTTTACTTTTTCTTTATATGTAAAGTCCCTCGCTGTAGTTACTATTGTAATGACGAGAGTGTCACACTATTGTTGTATCAGTGGAATCTATTAAACCAGGGCTAATCCAGATTACGTTCATCAGCAACTTGGCATATATAGTAAAATGTGAATAATCCGGACTTCCTGTATCCGAAAGCACTAAGGTCACTAAACGTGTTCAAGCTGCCGAGACAGATCTGGAGGTAGGGGCAGTGAATATGTTAACTATTTGACCTATTACGTTTCGAACCTTGACACATGACTACCCATACCTATACGGACACCAGTGCATTCGTCACATACTTCACATAGCTGCACCAGTACCAGAGCACGCGTTCCCTACTTCACCTGGATACATTGCTAACCAAAGGTCAATCATCACTAACAGTCAGCCACTTTCACAAAGATTAGCATCCGCATAGAAATATCCACACAAGGGTATTCAGCAATTACTTCACCTAGATTCATGGCTACCAATAGCATCAAACCCGCACAAGGGCATTCATAAGTCATTTCAACAAAATACATGGCTGTCTATTGCGATATCCGAAGCAGGGCAGTATAATAATCATAACCCACATCACCAAGAAAAGTGGCAATCTATAACTAAATCCCAAGCAGGGAAATGACAACCCATGTCACATGGCTACACATATTATACATACATGGCTAACCGTGCTTCTACCCTCAATAACTCAGTTTCAACTGGCTATATGGCTACCCATAGCTATGCCAAAACCAGATCTTCCATCACTTACTTCACCTGTGCCCATGGCTACCCACAGCTACATGTATACATCCATCAGGGCTTCCATCACCTATGTCACCTCGATACACGGCCAACCAAGGCTACAACAGGACCAGGGCATTCACAGATCAGTTCACCTGGACACCCAGCGCTATATCCGATCCAAGACATTCATAACTGACATAAGACCGCCTCAGTGGTCTAGTGGTAGAGCGTCCGCCCGGAGAGCGGAAGGTCCAGGGAAGATCCCCGGGCCCGTCGTAAAGATGGTACTTGCGATTGGCATTAAGGGGCTAAAACAAGGACTGGTCTGTTAAACTGCGGCCAGCACTATAACTCGGCATCAGCAGCCACACACGCACGCACGCACGCACGCAACATGCACGCACGCACGCGCACACACACAAACGCATACACACACATACACGCATACACACACATACACGCATACACACACGTGCATGCACGGCGCTATATAAGTGCAATAATCTTGGACACGACGTTAAACCGGTATTCAGGGTATTCATTACCTACTTCACCTTAATCCATGGCTATAGCTACACATCCACCAGGGCTTCCATAGTCTACTCCACCTAGATACGTGGCTATCCCTAGCAATACCCGCACTACCCATAGCTGTATCCGATCCGATTCATTCCTAACTGTCACGATATGGCTGAAATACTGCTGATGTGACGTTAAATATTAACTCACTCACTCATTCACAGGAAACGGCTATCAGCTCTCGTTATATAGCAACAACTATTGGACCCTGATCTGCACCCTTTGAAAGGTGCGAAGGGACACAAACACATGAATTGTGAATGGTTTCAAACATTTACACAGAAACATTGCTATCCACCACCCAATCAGGACGATGTTCGTCACCACAATTTCAGGTCATTCGCTCGTGCCAAAGAACACTTTTCCATCGATTGACAATAATGACAATGCATGCTTGTGGTATGCTTTAATATAAAGGAAGCGCTATTTTTCAGAGCTTTAACATTTGCAGAAGCCCGAGGTCCATTCCATTAACTGCGGTTGAAAAGACCGAGAGCCTCTGCAAATGATAGTGCCCTGAAAAATAGCGGTACCGTTATTATAGCTAAAATGGATCGAATTTGTTATGAAATAAAAAGGAACAACAATATCGGTTTTGAAACATTTACTGCAATCAACACGAATGTTACTGACCCACTTTTACAAATATGAAAATGTGATAGAACAAACCATATGACGTCGCTATTCAATGTGACGTCACTTATCCCTGTCCTATAACGTCACCTAACAACGGGCGTGATAATGACCCGTCGTCAAGCAATATGAGGGCATTATAAAGTTACAGTGGCACGTTCATTTCTGATAACATGCGGGCGGTTTAATGATAATTCTCTCCATTTTAGCTGTAAAGGTGCATATCGTGACACAAAGGAGACCAACATCCTCAGGCGACATTAACCCTTCTTTGGATGCCACAATGCGTTTATTGGGAAAATGGTTGCAATTGTAAGCTTCTACATTGGGGTCATAATAGCCATTGATGCTACTCAACATAGTGATACGATTTGTTCGAGTCACAACCAGTTGCCGGTCTTGTCGAAAATGTCATATGTATGTGTCTTCTAAAAGACAAAATGTACATTGTAGGCGTCCTGTACATGTGGAGAACTTACAAACTAAGATTTTGTCATAAATGTAGTAAAGAACCATAGACCATATAGCCCCATCGTTTGTTATCTGCACACGTCATTTAATGTATGTTTCTGCGTCTGGTGAAACACACTGAAGATCGTAAATACAGAAATAGTCAATACTAAACAGGATTTATATCTTTGTGAATACATCCTGATTTCCCGGTGTAGAGTTGCACGTATCTACATCCTCATCAATACAACCTGGACAATAATGCCGAGATTTACATCAATGCAAATTATTGCTGATATAGGTGAATTATTGCTCAACTTACCACAGGACATGAAATCGTATTATGTCAACAGAAGAAGCCAATATAAGGTATGTACACACTTGTCGAAATAATTAACACATACAATATGTGATTGCATAATTTATAAACCCATTGGAATTACAAGGGGTGCCGTAGTGTGTTACTCAATATCACCGTGATCGAGTCCCTGTGCTTCATTAGTCTGACTTCTGTTGTCTGTTTCAAAATATCAAAACTTATGTCCCATGCAATTCCCTATTTTGAATTGTACAATATTTTGTTAGGTGAACAATTGACTTGCCTTTGCAGGTGTTTGTGACGGATGTCACCGTGGGGTGGACGCGTTCACCTTTTCGTGAACAGCTGGTATCATCACTATTTTGATAGTGATTCAAAAACACATACTCATGATATAGTCGGAGTCATACAATCGACTCTGCGTTTGGCAGCGATTTCATAAACTATTCCATCGACTATGGAAGGGATTTGTCACTTTCTTTCCTGGTATACCAGGGGCCTTGGCATTGTAACAACCGCTGGTGTGCTTGGCCTAGTCCTCAATAAGTAGGTCATCACGATAATATCACTGAGGGCATTATGAAAATTCACAATCAGCAAAGTTATGCAGTTAACAAGGAAAATTTCGTGGTCGGATTAAACACAAAGGAACAGGGAGTAGTGCATTTTCCTCCTTGCTTGTACATGAAAAAAACTATTATTCTAACGACATAATGGCATATCTCCATCCTTGTCGTAGTACGTCCTCACACTCACGGCGTAACGCTCACGTCGTCACACACGCACGCACGCACGCACGCACGCACACACACACACGCACACACTCTCACACACACACACACAGCGATATACTCCCGAATCATTGCATTACCCGGTACACTTTTGGCTGTCTCCCCACGGTTGAAATACCCAATATATGATAAAAGCGGCGCTGAACGACAAATCACTTATAATCACTTAATCGCTTACTTGCAACATTGGGACATTGGGATTTCGTAAGGTCAGGGATAATCTGATTCAGTTGCACCGTGAATTCACAATTTATAAAAGGCTGCGTGTTTTATGCTAAAAATAGTAACCCGCCATTTTTTGCCCGGCTCACATTGTACTGCACAATACCCGGCAAATACACTAAACACTCGGCAGGAATATCTCTCGACTCTTTCGTATAAATACGTGTTGTACGTGTGTTTGTGAATCATCAACAACTTGTATGATCGTATGATGGAAAAGTTTGCTCACAGCTTAGATAAGCATGTGCATGCCAGGTATTGGTTGGGGGAATGCGTTTATCGGATATAGAAAAACCTTATCAGATGGGTAAATCGGAATGGAATGGCGAGCCAAGTTTGTTTCCTGCGCTAATTACTCCTTTTAATCTGTATCCTTACTGTACGTCTGGCTTCATTACCCGTGTGCTTGTCCTGTGAAGATTCCGGGTTAGAATTGGTCTTCAGCAACCCATTTTTGTCGTAAGAGGCGACTAACGGGATCGGGTGGTCAGCCTTGCTTACTTGGTTGATGCATGTCATCGTATCCCAATTGCGTAGATCGATGCTCATGGTGTAAATCGCTGGATTGTATGGTCAAGACTTTATTATATACAGAACGCCGTCATATAGCTGGAATAATGCTGAGTGCGGCGTTAAACAACAAACAAACAACAAACCCGTGTGCTTCATTACCTGTTTGCTATTAGTTATTCTTACTGTACCTTTGGCTTCATCCAGTTATCTGTATGCTACTTGTTATCTATCATCTGTTGTTGTGAAACTTAATATTCTGCTTATCACGACATATCATACATATACGTCTAATCTCTTGGTTGTTGTCACTCCAGCTGGATAACGGTGAATGAATCTACATCAAAACATCGCTATATGTAATAAACCAGAAGTTCAAATCCCTAAAGTTGCACGTTTTCTTACTAACTCACCAACTTCTAGAATGCCAATCAAACAATTAGTAGTCGTCATTATCGCGCATTGGATGACTTAAACATTCACTACAGTAAGCGTGCGTTGACCTTCGATAGCCTACCCCAATGGCCACCGGCAATGCATTGTGGGTAATCTGGTATTACGTGGAGTCCCTTCCGTATATCCTTACTAAAACAAATTTACAGTTACTTGACACATCATTTGTCATCTCCAAACCCTAGCAAAATCGATGACCCTCAAAATATCAATATCTCTGAAATATATCACCTGGCTGCATATGTAGACCAGATTTGGTTTTAATACAGACTACATCGTACTTGATGTTGATACCCCTGACTTCTCATGTCTGCCATCAAGATTAAACAATTGTTGCGTGCGGTAAATAGGCCACAAGGTGTTGCGTTTGTGCTGTCACAACCGGGTATTAAATCTAAAGTGGTTCATACCATGTAATCGGAAATATTATGCAATGCTATGCCCCGTTTTCACGAAAACGTGTATATTATTTTATGTTCATCTTCTTAATGAGACATTTTATAAAACGCCACAGTTGAATATGAATATGCGTGGGAAGGAGAGTTTTTTTTATTATATTAGTTCATTTGACGTATTTGTCACAAAATGCAGCCGAAATGTTTGTTTTAAGACCCTGTGACGTCAGCAAAATGTATTGACTTCAGGAAGAGACTAGAGTAGCCCATTAGTATAACACATCAACATTTGAATTTAAGGGTAGCGTCCCTTTGGTCGCATCTAAATAAGCTCGTCGCATTTTCAAAACCAAGGTTTTCTTAGCATCTTGGGTTTCACCAAATATCGGTAACGCTGGAGTATAAGTTGGCAGGCCGTGATATATCTGAGATATTGTTCAAAGCGGCATCATACCCATTCACTCACTCATATCAGTAAAACGCGTTTCCAAACTGATACGCGTGTCTCCAGAACACACCATTGTTAACTGAGAGCCGGTCGAAGTGCATTAAACAAAACGCAGGCGTGAGACAACAATGTCATTGCAACAGCTGTAAGGCGAACATGCATGGACTGTGTGAGTGAATATGGGAAATACTTCCACGAGGATAACAGGATATCGTGTCTCCACGAGACTTGGAGGTGGGTGTTTTGGTGTTGTTTATAAAATAAAAAGCAAGACCGACGCCAAAGCATATGCACTTAAAGAAATCTACCGAGGAAAAAGTCCCAACGGCTTGGACTCCTTACACAGGGAGGTTAACATCCACGAACAGCTGCCTTACCATAGAAATATCGTCAGATTCATTGAATGTTTCAAACGTGAGTTCAAACTCTATATCGTGTTGGAATTTTGTTCTCTTGGAACATTGAATGACTACATCATAAGGAACGACGTGTCTGACCAGGCACTCCTGTATTTTATGTTTGACACAGCGAGAGGCCTGCAGCACATCCACCGATATAATATAGTTCACCGTGACATTAAACCAGATAACGTGTTGCTATCGCCTGGCAAGTTTGGAATTCCAACATGCAAGATTTGTGACTTCGGTTTGGCCAGGTATTGTGATAAGGGTGGTGTGGTTGGACAGCGATGTGATAACGATCCCCCAGCATCAGATGACGGACCAATGATGTACATGGCACCAGAGGTCACGTCTGGATTATATACTTTAGCTTGTGACATATTTTCACTTGGCATGTTGTATTTCGTAATGTACTCGCGTCACGTGACAGAGTTCAAAGGGCGGAAAGTCCTCGAACCCCACGCTCACGGATATCCTATGTTCACAGCCCCAGACAGCATTGTTGAAACTGAGATCAAGCGATATATACGAGGTCAACTTAACCGAGATTTGGTTATCTCGATGTTGAAGAAGACGCCTAGCGATCGGTACACTATTTGCACTGTGTTGGAGAAGCTGTATGAATTATTTGCATGTGCGATATCTTCCGACAAAGACGATAACACCACGTGCCGTATTTCAAATGGACATATTCAGTAGAGTAACATCCCAGCAGCTGTGACACGGTTTATTTGTATATCATGTGAAATACAAACACAGCATGACACACTCAAAGATTGATTAGCGGGTTTCAATTTAGCGTGAGTGATCGATCGTATACCTGTATGCATGTATTCTCTCCGGGCCTTCCCATATTTAACTTAAATGGGAATTGTGTTTGAGCACATGAATCCATACATATTACATAACCGGTCGTGTATTTAATTTGTCATGTTTGTGAGCATATTTCATGTGGACAGTATGAAGCATATGGTAGCATATGTATGGGCATATGGCTAAAAACTTTTCTCATATGTACTAATGTCAGTAAGACCCGATACCGGATACAATATCTTCCTGAATGTAAGTGTTTGTTTTTGTAATTGGTGTCTCCGTGTGTATTTCCTTAATGGACGAACATCCCCCTTGGTTTTAGAATAACATACATCGTGTGTAGTTAATTTGGTACTACGGCAAGGGAAGTTTGTTGAGATCGGCAAATGAATCAGATGTGAGAGCGCCATGTCTGGATGTGTACACGTGGAGGAAGAGTTAGACATAAACAGTTGTAGTAGACATAACCATGTCGGCAGTCAGGGTACGTCAGTGTGTTGATATAACGGTACACACATACTGCCTGGAACCGCCTCCGTGGTGTATATGTATAATATGTGGAGCGTCTGCTCGGACCGCGGAATGTCGGTGATTCGATTCCCTGGCTGCGTCATACCAAAATACGCTAAAAGATTAATATACTTGTTGTTACCCTACGCGGTGCTCGGCATTAAGGAGATTGAACAGGGACTGGCGACTCGGAGTCAGTATAATTAGTGTCTGAGTGCTGTATCCATCTTAAACTGCAGCATGGTATCTCAGTGGGCTGGCACTATAAAATCAATGCGGATCAATACGAGCAGTCACGCATACACTATAACCTAAAGTAAAATAATCTTAAACGCAACATTAAACAACATGTCACCTCACCTCTCATACTGACTGGTTTGTCAAACACAAAGATACTGTTTCAATACCTCACTTGACTACGAATACTCCCGTGCCAAATATAGGGGTACTGTCAATTAATTATGACGAAATTTTACATCAGTAGTCCTATAGGTATGTCCATTAAGAACAAAATGTCAGCCTCCTCAAAATCCAAGATGCCTACATGTGTGAAAAGCATTTATCTATTTGTGTCAGACATTCATAGCATAATTCGCACTCACTCACTCCATGCCTGCACACATGAGACATGTTTTCATACTTTGTAACATGACGACAAATTACACAAATACGGATGGTATAATGTCTAAAACAATCTCTGCAGCACTTGAAACAGTTATAAACGATGTAACATATTACCATGGCCCGTTGGGCTTTGTCTTCATTGTTAAAGAAATTACAGTGGCAAGTTATATCATTTGACCGTAGATAATCGAAAGCTAATGCAAAGTAGAAACATGAACATATTTGACCACTTATTATTGACCTGCAGCTAGACCCCGTCTCATTTGACGTGTTCCATGTAATCATACATGGCTCAAGGGTTCAAATGTCCTTGTACACAGAGGTTTTGTTTTTAGTTTAAAGCTGTAACTACATCACGGCGGCCTGAAAAAATGATCTGATGTGGACCAGTGACTGATATTATGAGCAACGTCTCGGGTCGTCGGGGTACGATGCCACCCAATCTACCAAATGACTCAGCCTATCCACCCGATCTATACAGTGACCTTTTGCGACAAGCATGGGATGTTTGGAACCACCTGTTCTAACCCTGACTACCCAAGGGCTCTTTGTGTATCCATAGTACACATACCGACGAGTTTGGTTTCAAATGAACTTACAGATATCGAGACGACAATCGATTGTTTTTCAATGACTGTCCTGAGTTGTGCCCCTTAACCATGCCAGGATCCGATGAATTCCCGATGATGATCATAGGTTCCATTTGGTAGCACCATATACATTCTCATGCATGACGATCTGTGATGATTTTGGCTTTCCTCTCGCATGAAGCTGTCACGCCGTAATGTTAACTGAAATTCTGTACAGCATGGTGCTCAACCCAATTCACTCACTTAAACTCGCACTGAACACGTATTCCTGACAATCTCCAGTAGGCCCTTTATATACAGTGAAGGACAACATAACAACAATCTACTTTAAAATAAATTATAAACACTGTCCATATACATGTAGTTAGTGAACTAGTTAAACACACATCATTATTTACGGGTATCAAATCAGTCGCAGTTTACCTCAGGGACATGTTACACATAAGTATGAACACACGTGTACACGGACATGGGAATCTTGTCAGCGTGTTAACGTGTGAATAAGGGTATCACATGTACATCAGTCGCAGTTTACCTCAGGGACATGTTACACATAAATGTGTACACGGACGTGGGAATCTTGTCAGTGTGTTAACGTGTGAATAAGGGTATCAAATCAGTCGCAGTTTACCTCAGGGACATGTCACACATAAGTATGAACACATGTGTACACGGACATGGGAATCTTGTCAGTGTGTTAACGTGTGCAACATAGAATGCATGCCGCTGATGGAGAAGCTTATCTTTGAAAGGCATTTAGGAGTGATACACATAAGGATGAGAATTTATGGATGTCAGCGTCTTTATCATAAGGAACACAACGTTTCGGAGTATATACTTATTCATTCATCATGTGAATGATGAAGGAGTAAGTATATACTCCGAAGCGTTGTGTTCCTTACAATTAAAAAGTTGACATCCATAAATATCTTCCTAAAAATATGTATCTTCTCTCGCTTTTAAAACATATCTTATCTGATACTGACTATACACCTACACAATATACAATGCGTTGACGTTTACAACATGGAAATAAGGTAATGAGGAGTACATTTAAAGACGTAGCATATCTATTGGGTACAATAATGCTTAACTTATCTTATCTTGTTTATTAAACTTATCTTCATCATACAGTATATACACCACAAGACTTCATTAATACCTTGGAATGTGTTTCTGCACTCACTTTATTTATTTTCAAAGAACATTTCTATTATCGGAATATTGAGATGGAGTGAGTGAATCTGCTAGTGTGCCGCAGTCAGTTGTACTAGTATTCAAGATGGTATCCAGTCTGTCAATACACACTCAGAACTGACACAGGCCAACCAGGGATGATATAGGTATTTACAGCATGAGCTGTCTGGGTTCTTTGACACACATTCAGCCAGGTCACACATTCTTCATTCCTGTTATTGGTATTCACTGATGGGATGGCTGGAATACTGCGGACATTGGCCCTCCTGACTCTCTCACGCAATGCAGTTTATAGCAGAAGTGTATCGTTGTGAAAGCTATAACATATTTTATGGGCGATTTGGGTGTAATTTAGATTGGCGTGTCGTGTATGGGTAGCCTCCCTTTCAACGTCACCAGTACATATACTACACTAACCTGTTATAAAATCTCTAAATCTCAAAATATCAACTCTAATAATTTTAACATATTTCACTTGTTTACAGTTTAGACAATGCCGAGCTAGGAACACATAATCTGGTCAATACTGCCTGCAGATCATAGCGATAACAGTTCTGGACCAAACCGGCTCAATACAGTACATAATGGTAATGTGTCTTTACCGGTTTATTTGTACCGGCACAGAATTATCATGTTTTATTGCGTTAATACTACATGCTATTTAACCGTTACCGACCCAAGGCTTGTTTCGCTCAGGTACCGATGTACTGATACTGTTTACTGGCAATGTGAATAGAAAGTTAATCGAGGCGTTATTGATTCTCTGCAAATGAGATACTACTGGTTTGTTTATACAGGCCATGCAATGGCTCCTATGCCGGGATTGTATTGCTTCAGTACCAAAGGCAGTACAGTTTCAATGTATCGGGCGAAAATTTGATCAGAGGATCCTGTAAAGATACTTAAGTAAATATGCCTGACATTAATCACCATTTTTGTTTCTTGTAGACTGCCACACGAGGGTTGAGTGATAAATTCTGGGCCTCACATAGACGGAATTGCGTAATAGTGATATATTTAGTTGTGAACATTACATGATTTCATACAGGCAAATCCACAAAAACTTTAGTCTATTGAGCAAATTGTTTCGCTGTGACAAGTCAGTAAAATAAACAGGGGTCTGTGACCTTTTGAAAATGAATAAACTTTAGGAACGTAGAATGATCGAGGTCTTGTCGAAAAAGGGCCCAAAACCATAAGCCAACCATGAACATATATGAGTACAAGACTAGGGAAGAATGCCCCTACCTATGCCACCGAAAAGTGAGTGAGTATGGTTTTACGCAGCTTGTAGAAATATTCCAGAAATATCACGGCGGGGGAAACCATAAATGGGCTTTACACATTGTACTAATGTCGGGAATCGAACCCGGGTCTTCGGCGTGACGAGCGAACGCTTTAACCACTAGGCTACCCGACCGCGCCCCCACCGTAATGAGGTAGTCAGCAGAGTGTAAGCCTGGTAGGGAGAGCATTGAAAACAACCCCGTTCAGGGAGTCCTGACCAACACCAGAAATGATCAAGAGAATCCACAAAATGATAATGACCGCCCGGCGAATGAGTTCAAACAACAATCAAAACTGAGACAATTAAGGGGTGAAATTAAGACTAAGAGACGTGGGAAGCTGCGAAAAGGTGCGCTTTTCCTTCACAAAAATGCGCCAGTGCACAAATTAGTCTTTGTCATGTCTACAATCCATGAGTGTAGCTTTGAACTCCTTGAACCATCCTTATTTTCCAGATCTGGCTCCGTCAGACTGCCATCTGTTGCCAGCTCTAGCTGGAGCCCATTTCGACTCGAATGATGATAACTGTAGGAGATCCTTTTAGGGATAACTATAAAGATAGTTTGACCCAATGACCGTTCATCCTTAATCGCGAAACTATTTGTTTACGTATAACAGCACGGTGTAGTGGATGGGGCGGCTGTGAGGAGAGCGGAAGGCTTGTGGTTCGATCCCCTGTCAACGATGTACCAAAAGATGATACTTGTTGTTGCACGGCTGGGCTAAATCAAGGACTGGTCAGTTCGGAGTCAGCATAATGAGTCAGAGCATGCTATCCGTGTTAATCTGCAATATGGTGTCTCGGTAGGCAAGCACTGTAAAACCGACCTAATACAGGTCTAGTACAAGCAACCGCACATATGCGTGCATGCACAGAGCTATATGAGAAATAATCTTCAACGCGAAGTTGAAACCCTATTTCGCTTCGTCACATCTGTATTTCCGGGGGAAATATTTTGTTGGTCTTGGTTGTAGAACGTTTTAGAGGTGATGGTACTGAGACTATTTTTCCGAAGATGAAACACCTGGTATTTCACAATGACTCTTAGGCTGAGCCTTACGAGTGACTGAGTATGGTTTCACCCAGCTTTTCGCAATAGTCCAGTTGCAATACGGCAGGGAATTGGACTTTCGATATTTTACCCATGTGGAGAATAGAAGTCATTGCTCCGGCTGGACGAGCGAACACTTTAACCACTAGGTTACCGAGCTTGTTTGGGTTTAGGATTACGACAGGATCGAGTACGACAAACCTTAGGATTTAACGTTATAATCTTTAAAATACGTTGAAAACATATATTTACTCTAAAGTTGATATCTTAGGTCAGGCTGGATAGCATATATCGGTGTCCAGGATAGCCGATGTAGGTATTAATGGCTGACGGAGTAGTCTATTTGGGTGTTTATAGCAGGCGGTGGTGGTGTTCGGGGTAGGCGGGGTAGGCTATGGAAGCATTTTGGTTAGGTTGGTAGAAGGACATGGCGGTGTTGAGAATAAAGTTGAAGCCTATGGTAGTGTTTAGGGTAGGCAGGGCAGCCTATCGCGATGTTTAGGGCAGGCGGGTTAGCATTTGGTAGTGTTTGTGGCAGGCATGCTCCTTAGTTTCACCATAGTGGTAAACGTAGATTCGGGCTTTCTCCCACACCAAGCTGGCACGGACTGATATTGCTGAAACTCGTTCACTATATTATTTTCAAACGCACAGCCAGTCAGCATGTTTAATAAAAGCGAATATATAAACTAATACATGTATAAAGAACACCTGCTGTCTTGAAAACAGTTATGCCTTTTTGAAAATATGTGCTTACGTATTTTATATATTCCTGAGAGTACAGGGAGTACAGGGTCGGGGCCCTGAAAATGCCCAATGTAGATCATTCTCTTTCGAAATCTTGTGTAAGATCTTGTTAGCCTAGAACGAGTCACAGCACGTAAGGACATGTCCCTGGACATTCTTCCTGAAGTGATTCTGTGCTCTCACTGCTTGGTTCAATGATAACACACGGATCAGCCCATGCCTTGCACCGCACTACAAACAACCAAGTCAGTTCCTGGAACTGCGACAGTTTTCTTCACAAAAACTTTAATTCACCAAATATGACAACAAATTTGAATGCAAATCAACAAAATGAAAAGGTGCACAAACAATCCACCAATATCCTCAAATATAATATCTGAGTTAGCAGAAGACACTTCTGTAAACGTAAAACAAGACGCCTTCTAACAATAAAGACTGCCCCTCTAGTCTCAATGGTAATGGCTCGTAATCAGGATTCATTTAAGAGGCACATAAATATAACGTTTTGGAATAGAAGGTAAATACTCCTCCCTAACAACAGCAGACTTTGGTAGCTGAACACCACAAACATACTCACCCTCGGTGATTAATGACATTAGAAATACGCTGGGACGATATGTTAGATAGCAACATATAGAATACTATACGAGTGGATTGTTTTGGTATCTGACGTGCGAACTATTCAGTAGTTTCATGAAATTAGTATTTTTTATTTATTACTTGTTCAAATGTGAGTGTCTTGTGTGAAAAGGCAGACATATACGCGACCCAGTATAATCCAATTGAGATTAACAGAACAATACCTCAAACGCGTCCTTGCTCAGCTCCTACATGGAGGATATATTTTGTCCTCCTCCTTCATTACTCACTGGTGCTAAATGGCTTCAAGTGTAGAATCAGAGATGCCGTTTTCCCTTGAGCAGATTTGAGAAGTACATAACCCATCTCTTCATTTGCTTGCCTCTGTCACGGATCTTTTGCCCTTGCGGATGTCAGGGGCACCGTCTCGTTTTGAATTTGACCGATTCTCTCTTGTTGTTGCCGTACACACCTTGGATGATCCCATCATTAGTGGATAATTGAATGCCCTGACAGACATGCAACAAGCTTCCGACGCTTTTGGGGGATCAGGCTTGTTTCATGTAATTCGACTGTGAACCTTTGTGATTGGCCTCACGTGAATTCTTGGGCTGTTACTTATTGCTGCTGCTTATTTTACCTATCGTATTGCTTTTACGAGTATTTACTTAAAACAGTGTGTTTCAATACAAAGTTATTGATTATTCATTGATCTTGTGTGGTTATCTTCTCATTTCACAATTTAGTTCTGTTGGTACCGATATCTGGGTTAAGCTTTGTGTTTCAATTTGGACATCACGTCGCACCACTTGGACCTTGTTTCCATCATATAATCACAGCCGTGTGGTTGTATATAGTTCAACCAGTTAAGAAGTCTGACAAATGCTGCATTCAACACCCACTGTTCTTAATACTGTATTTATCAGTATCATAGTATTACTAATATCTCTTAAGCGCGAACCCATGACTGCGTCTCTTCTATATATTATTAAGCATTATTCCTCTGAATATATGTTATTAAATGTATTTATAAATCTGTCAGCATTATTTATTAATCCGCATGTTTATTTAGCGCGCGTGTGTGTGCGTGCGTACGTGTGTGTTTGTTTCGTGTTTCATATTGCGAATTAAACCATGTAATCCCGAAGACCTCGGTGTTTCCTGCATAATTGGAAGGATGTGTGCCCGAAGAATTTCATCCGTGTATTTATAACATTGTGCAGTTACATTCCACAGAACGTGCACCAAATTTGTTCTACCAGTGTCGGAGATGGATGCCCACATCATCACACAACCACCACCAAATCTGTCCACGTCCTGTATACAGTTTCGGGCACAACGTTCCTCGCGACGACTGTAGGCACGATCATCCGCACGGCCAAGCATAAAACATGACTCGTCACTAAACCAAACGCAGTTTGATCGCAGTCGTTGCCATACTCTGTGACCATGATACCATTGCCGTCGCAGCCGACGATGCAGGTCCGTCAAACTGACACCTGGAACTGGTCGTCCAGCGAGAATACCTTCAGCGCGTAAACGGTAACTCACAGCCAGGGCTGATATCAAACGCAATCCTGGTATTGCCGTAGTTGTTGAGGTGGCCGGGGTGATTCTTCCACGAACGTGACGTAGCCGTGTGAACCTGTCCTTAGCTCTAGGAGTGATACGTGGTCGTCTGGATCTGGGAATATCACGTTTTGTCCACAGTCTTGTAATGGTGCTTGGTGCTACGTAATGAAACCTGACTATAGCTGCAGCCGATTATCCTGTTTGCAGTTAGCCGATGGCGTTGTTGCCTTGGGCATCTTTTTGCTGTTCACTATGATGGCATGCAAATATAACCCCAACGTTTTTATCTCCCAACGTAAACAATCGATGTTGCACTTCGCTAGGCAGAGTAGTGTTGCCTGGATCCTAGCATGAGCTGGTCGTTCTTTCGAAACTTTGGTCTTTTACCATACATTTGCCTGGAGTTTTATAAAAGATATACAAAAGAAGTACATGGTACCAAAGTCGTCCATGTCATTTTTTCCCCACACATTAAGTTAACATATGATGCTTTAGCTTTTTTCGTACCGTTGCACGTGAAGTTTGAACCCAGCCATTCTTCAAATGTAGTCGGTATCATTTAAGCTCGACATGGCTATCAGACTAGTATTTGTATAAATTATTTCAAGATGACAATTCATACATTGTAACTGATAAGGTAGATTTGAGCTGGCTATTATTTGTATAGTGGGAATATTTGAAATATGTCTACATAGTCGTCACATCAAGTAATAACGTCATATTGTTGATAGTCATTGTGGAGACATAAATGGAATTAATATAATTAATGCGAACGACAACTCGCATTTTTCGCATCACGCTTGCGTTAATTTCAAGATTTACAGTATATGGTTCGCATACATATTTAATAAGTTATAAATTCATGGTACGTGTTAGATAATTCATTGTTCTGTATTCCGTTGATATTTGCGATATAATGAACGATGAATAAGGTAGACTAGTCGTGATTTCGCCCCTTAGCTCAGAATTGTAGTTTTATCACAGTATGTTAATCTGTCCAAGGTAAGCCCAAAATAATACAAGCCTTAGATTTTGTGAAACCCTCGGGCACGGGTGTGGTACTGACAAACGAAGGAGCATAATGAGGGTGAATCATTAATGCATGATCATTGATTTGTCGAATGCATAGGCATCCCAACATATTGTGTTCACGGCACCTTAGGTAGCTGGTTCACCCTTGCCCAATATCTTGAGGAAAAGCTGAGTCACAGCCTATTCTGTATTGTGTAATAAATCACCTTCATTATGCGCCCGGCATAATTTCGCTGAAAGGCTTGTACCATTCGTCTACTTCTGCTTACTCGGCTAGGACTTACTATTGAGGGTCGTGTTGTTTGACAAACCACATACCATTACTTTCCAATAAATACCGACTGTACAGCTGCATGACTACTATACGTTCCACATAATGCGACTACGCCGATCACGTTGCGCATAAACCTTCGCACAAACTTCGAGAAAAAAGTTTTTATTTTATCCCAAATAGTTTTACTGTTAGGAATCAATTGCATAATGTTGACATTGAAGGCTTACTGTGACGAAAAATCAATGACGTTAACAAGTGACAAGTTGTAGTCAATATCCAGTAATTGTCTGTACCTTTTTAAATCAACAGATAATTGATGACTCCGCCCATTGCGAATGTCTGTCATTGATCTAAGTGTGTGAGAAGAGAGAATGAGCTGCGAATGTGTGCATTGTGGTATATAACGATGTCACGCATTATGCCCCTTTAATGCACTAGGCGTGTACAGTAACTGATGGATAATGGTTAATTAATGGATACCAGTATACTGCCATAGTAGTTTTACTGCGCGATATACTCGTGTCTGCGTTCACTGTTATGCAATACACTGTGGCTGGATCGCACTGACTGCTGGCATTGAAAAAATGAATAATTGTTCTGAACACCCAGATAATAACTTCCTGAAAGGAACACATTAGGTCTTACTTCTCAAAGATGGGCATCAGGATCGTCACCAGTGTCCGGACAGTTATCGTGTTTATTTTGCCGTGTTTATATTTCACACATGGTAAGAGATTGTTTGATATTGTGTTCAGTTGCAATCGTCTATGTTGTCGTGTTTACAATATCCATAAGAATATATTTTTTTCAACATAAAATTAATGCTCAGCCATTAGATCGCTTCTCTGATTTTCGTTAAAATGTGAAAGTAGGGAGTTATATCGGAAATCATTTTTGTCACTGATGCATCAATCTTGTGTCCAGCATTTCACATAGTGTTTTATCGGTAAACTTCAGATAGTATTTGCTTTCCCTTTTAACAAATAGCGGTGAACCCTCTGAAGATGTATCTATATTTATGGTCACCACGTGTTGTAACAAAATCCAAAGGTTCAAGAAATCAAATTTGTGGGATAGTGGTGTTGAAAAACATATGTGTCAAAATGGTGGGGGGGGGGGGGGGGGGGCAGAAGCAACATGGTATTGGTTCCTCTTGTCTCAAATATTTCCTGTAAATATAAAGAATGTTCTTCCTTGGTAGTATGATAATTACGGTTCATCTTCGAGACAGGCAATCAGCTCTTGTGATCACTGTCCAAAATATAAATGTTTATATAAAGTGAGGTCCTTTATTTGTTCCCATCTCTGCTATGAATATCATGATCAGTGCCTGGTAATTTCTAATTACGATAGTTTATGTTCACGTTTAAGGGTGTCTGCTTGTATCATTTAATTTTCATTGCGCAACTTGGCAATATAAGTGTCTAAGCCGATAGGTTTTGACTAAAAATCAAATCAAACAGATAAGGCGTTACATTTTGCTTATGACAAACACAACTGGGGGTTCTTTAAACTATAAAGTCTCTTAACTATTGTAACCTCGCCGTGTGACGTCATATCACTGTCAGTCGTCATCAGGGAATGTCGTCATCGATTTACGCAAAACAATAGCTCAATAACATATAGATGGTGGGGATTTTTTTGCAAATAAACCTCTTTCCATTAATGGTTAAAAGAGTAACTATTATTAATTATTCTTTTTATTTCGAATCGCGGTGAATATCCGCTACATGTATAAAAGTGTGAGTATTTCTTGAAGGTTTAGTGACAATAGCGCAATAGAATTCACACTGACATCCTTCTGTTTCGATTTGAACATTTATGTATTTCTATAAACATTATCACATTCACATCTATCTTTGAAAAAAGTTTCGGTACAAACCAGAGGAGACCATTTCACTTATTCAGATTTTACTCATGACTAACACCACAACACAAGTACAGTTGTATCCACAATATCCTCCTGACAACTTTTAAATGTATTATTCGCGTTTCGCTACTTATATAATGGTAGATTATGGGAAGTTTGGATAAAAAGTGAGAAACGTAGACATTGTCTAATTTGGTATTCCGTGTTACAGGCAACATATGTCCAACGGCATCTGGAGAAAAGGGTATGTACTTATTCACATTAAGTCATTATGAATTTCATTTACGTCATCCATATAGTGGACGAATACAGATTAAAACAAGTCTTGTGATCAAGGAAATAGTCTCACATACGTATGTCATTATAAAGTCAATATGACTACACACACATGGTAATACGTGTAATAATATACACATTTGGAAAGGCTGTAGTGACTAAGTAATGGTATTTATAATGTCAACAATGTTAACATGACGTCAAAAAAAGTAGGCTGTGATGTCACTACACGTCATGCGTCAACAGTATCTTTAATAGCGCTGTAATATGCTTCCATATGTATCTGTAATATGCTTCCTATATGTTTACATTTACCGTCTATCATATTGATAATAAAAGGAAATATATACAAGTGTTCTAAGTGAAAAGGGTAAAATAATAAAATCACTATGTCATAAGGTGTCATTAATTCATTTTAACAATCAGATAACAACAATAAACGTTGAAAATGAAGCAACAGTCTGTATATGTAACTGCAAAGACAATGTACTACTTCTTTTAGGTGCTTATGTATTAATCATCAGTTTATATTGTACTTCATGATCAGTTGTACACGTGTGTGAGGACAACTTTGCCAGTGGAGCATCCATCTATCTGGACACCTTTAAGGCTGTCAACTATGAAGGCAACTGTCTATGTGACCTCAGGGCACAAGGTGGCGCTGTTGATCTCCAGTTGTCAGTACAAGGAGTCCACAAAGACTGTGACGCTATCCTGTATTTCCCTCCGCCTATTGATTACACATATAAATGTGCAGACAAGGCATCCTCAAATACTACAGGCCGGATCGGGCCAGGACAAGTGGTTTTCCTTACTCTCGTCAAAAGATCTGAGGTCACCGATTTCTGTGTCCATTTAGTGCAGATATCATCAGCAGGTAAGCTCACATATTCTAACTCAATCTTGAACACAGTCTGAGTCTAGATAATTAAGTTGAAGCAAGATGGGTTATGCTAGATTAGATTAGAACCAGACGGATATCAATACTACATACAAGACGAAACAGTTCATTATGTCAAAACAGGTTTTCGTTGTAATCGTTTTGTTGTCTGCACCGACGCATGCATAAATATCCATACAGTTACAGTTTATTTAAGCCTCAAACTATGAACAACAGACCAAGGTATCATGACGTTTTATTTCAGGATGACGTAGCTAATTGGCACACTTCTCATTGGAATGATACGGGTAATGTCAATGGAAATAAGTTACATACTTACAGAAAATATGAATGTACACCTTCTGTTGATTACAATGTTAAAAGTATTATGTACAGAGACCACCGCCGTATCTTAGCCAAGTTTAGAGGTGGAATTTTACCTTTGTTTGTTGACAGGTAGATATTCCAACGAGCCTTCTATAGCACTATCGGAGAGGTTATGTAAATATTGCGATTGTGATTTGGTGGAAGATGAATTTCACTTTTTACTACAATGAAATTTTAATGCCATATACGAAGAAGAGAACTTTATTATACTTAATGGATTCAAACATTTTACAAAAAATGCTTGCCGATTGTTATTGTCTCCTGTAGGTCTTCTTAAAGCGTAGCTAAATTTCCTAGCTCTCACATATGTATGTATATGTTTTGTTTATATTGTATATAGTGTCTCTTAAGCCAATGTCTGGCTGGACGCACTCCATACATCTTTTGTCTTGTGTGTATCAATTTTATATTGTACATGTTGTGCGTGTGGCACTTTAATAACCATTTTACTGCTACTAATACTACTGATACTACTAATACTACTAATACTACTAATACTACTAATACTACTAACACTTATACTAATACTAATGAATACAAGATACCAGATACCGAGTGAGCCAAGTTGAGTGACTTTCTATGATTGCCAATCTGCCCGTACGTTCAGTTCCTCTGGTGAGATTTTTGCAGTCAGTGTAATCTCTGCATTCACAAAGACTTTGGTCATTTGGCTCACTGGAACATTTTTGTGGTTCATCTGGAGAAACCCGCACTGAATCGACAATTGGGGATCACCTGAACCTGAAGTGTTTTCTTGTTGAAGTGTTTATAGTATTGACAACCTTTCTTTCTTGTTTATATTATGATTTCCCCATCCTATAATTATTTCCACTTACATTTACCACTACACTTGGTTCCTGCAACAAGAGGATATCAGTATGTATTCATTCCTACTGACCTATACTGCTTTGACAGTCCATCCAAATGGATTTTCTGTTTGAGAATGTTCATGAAGCATATAGATGTTTTCCGTGTAACATGATCCTCAGGTCTGCATGGTTTATTGGTATCACAAAGGAGGTGTCCTTGAGATACATGTAGCACATCCTATTCGAACAGATCCAGTACCTGGTCCCCCCATTACAAAATGTTCAAGATTTGATATGGATGACCGAACAAAACTTCTTTATCCTTTTAGACTGGGAATGTATAGACTAACAATGGAGAGCGGTATTCGTGTGTCTGAACAGTAGTCTCCGTCTGACAAAATTCGGTACTTCTTGGTACATAAACGCCCCTCTCTTGTTCTACGAGCTGTGAATGGCAAAGGGATTGTTTGGTTGGATTATGGACACCCACTTTAACCATACCCCTTCTACTGATCCCATCACAGCTGGGTCTCGATTATAATGTTGTCAATACAATGATAACCTTTGCCTTGCTTACCAACTGAGCACTTTTCTTAAATTAATGTAATGGGTAAGAACTGGCCAAATACAAGTTTGTCACGTCACATGATCATTATGAAAGTCTTCTTGTGTTATGGTTAGATATTTCTTCGGCGTGGTCTCCTAAACGCGTCTGTGATAACTTTTCCCAGCCTTTGTGGGAAACATTGCTGTCATACCTTATGCAGTCCATGAAGTGAAAGTTTGAGGAGGTTATGAGATGCACGTCTTGCCTTCCGAGATTGTCACCAACGATAATGATAAGAACCACGGGGATTGATGAGAAAATGGTGCTGCCTCGTTAAAGGCTTCTGTTAAACCATATGTCACAGAGCTGTGCTCCAATGATCAGCGGTGTCATTTAACAAGAATAAAGTAATAAAGAAAACGTGGTAATAGGTTCACAAGTTTATTACTATCAACTGCTTGTAGCAATAGAAGACAATAAAAGGATCAAATAAACCCAATCTGCGCGGATAAAGATCACTGATTAATTAAATCCGCATAAATACACAAGCATCTTAGCTAAGCAACCGTATTACAGTTAATAGTATGAGTGCTAAAACAACACTTTGACAAGATACCGACCATGGCCAGATGCGAAGACAGCCAATTAAGTCGGCTGCGACCAATTAACACCCGAGTTAATTAACTCAGCACTCTAATGAGTGAATTATCTCGGCTGGGTTAAATAACGGGAAATAGACACAGAGGGCCTATTCCTAAATAACTCACTTGGACTATAAAACAGACACGTACGTCTGAATATCAAACTTGTCTAATCGACTAAAGATTGAATCACATTGAATGAGCAAGGGAATACTAGAATTCCACAAAAGCTAGACAATCACGGAAAGTTTGGTTTTCTGCGGATTACTTGAAAAACTGAGTATAACAAACCCCAGCTACTAAGTTTAGCTCAATACAACCAGAGTAAGTCTGTAAGAATTGGAACGTGTCCCGAAACCACTAACGAAACCTGAGTTTCGAACGTGACCTCCCGTACCATACCGACCCGTACAAGCGGCCTAATGAATCCTGGGGGGTAAAGACACAAGATTTGACAGAAGTCTACATTTACTGCGCGCGAACCTCAGAGAGGCCAATCTCTCCTGGACAGCCGGGGAAAACAACAGTCTGAGGGCTTGGCCAAACTGTGTTTCTAAACATTGGAAAAACACGAATAGCAAACTAAATACTATATCTATACTGAAGATGTAAGTATCAAAATAATGCGCTGAACATATATAAGCTATTCTATGGTATCATCATTACAGATTTACAACAAGCTCTGTCCAATTATTGATGAGGCAAAATACATGAGAAACATATGAGTGTACATATAAATACACTTATTGTTTGAAAATCATAGTTACAAAAACATTTGCAATACACGAATAAGGTAGCGAATATATCAGAGATAACTTACATCAAGTCATTACATGGTTTCAGAGTGCCATTTAATCACAAGAGAATGAAATAATCGGGCCACTAATTCCCTAACAGAATGTAATGACCCCTTACAACGACGACCGCCGGCCTTTGCCGAGAGGTGTCAGAAATAAAAGCGGGGAGCAGGGAGATCGACCGTGACACGAGCAAAATAACGACCAGGTGACATCATATTAGGACATGTTGTTTGAAGAGAATTCAAATGTTGATAACAGTGTAATGAGGCCAACGGAATATCTTGCAATGTACCAGAGGCAGAATACTATGGTTTGTTTATATGGTTTACATGATTAGTTTGCTTTTTATAAGAGTCATTTGTTATAAAAATTAACCAGTGGCATTGCCCAATTATAATTTTACAAGGTGGTATACGTATTGTGTTCTGTTTAGTTTAAGTGCTGAGTGCGAGACAGTGCTTGCATATTGTTCCTTGTTTTCATATATGTGTATAATTTTCAGCTGGATCACTTAATCTGGCCTGCTTTAGAGGCACATTGAAATCAGCCAACACCTCAACAACAACATCCCCGCCAATCAACGTCACAAGTAGCGTCACCACTTCGGATACTTCTGTTACTGAAGGCAAAGATTCATCCGGGGACAATACAACCACTACAGCAACAGAGAGCAAAGATTCATCCGGGGACAATACGACTACTACAGCAACAGAGAGCAAAGATTCACCCGGGGACAATACTACTACGACAGTAACAGAGAGCAAAGATTCAACCGAGGAAAACCCACATATAACACCTTCTGGAATCACAGGTCATAATAACACAGCGACCCCTCAGTCAGTTATTGGAGGTAAGAATCAGCATTGTATATACTAACAGCTTTTGTTTGAGTCATCATTTATCTAAATCCAATTTAGAAAACAATCCTCACACAAATTCAAAGTACTGGAAATATACGTCTTCGAACATGTTATTTTCTATTTCAACTGTTTATATTTATTGGTTGTACTCCCATATGTCGGAAATTCAATAGTTTAATGTATATGTCTAACTATTCTGACCAGCATTTTGTACATGAATAACATGATACCTACGTTTAGGAGTTTAAGTCAAGTATAGTTATAGTATCTTGAATTGCCTGCCTGTGGTAGTAGATAATACTATTTAACATTTTTATAATTAGAAACTAATAAAAGTAGACACATGTTACGGGTAATTTCCATTGTTGATACTGTTTTAGAGTCTAAAGTTACATGAAAATTAATGTTTTCTTGCGTTGTCTTATTAATGTGTTCCATTTTCCATTCTAGTCAGCTTTGTCGTTGTTGGGGTCGTTGCTGCAATCGTGCCGTAATGAAACTACGTGTATAACGGATATGGAGTTTATGCAGGTAAGAGTTTAAAAAATTCGAACAATCCAGATCTTCAAGCAGATCTCCAAGGGGTATTCATGTTTGTGTTTCTGTCACAATGAGACAAATGTGTGAGTAACGCCGCTTTTAACATTATTCCCTAATGTGGGAGAAAAGCCCGAAGTGAGACAGGTCTCAGACGTTTACCTCTTCAGTGAAACCCACGAGAACGGGTATGGTGTTGACAAACCTAGAAACATAATCGGGGCGAACCGGGATTCGAACCCACAATCACCAACTCTGCACAGTGAATCGCGGCGCCTTAGACGACTGGGCCACCCGTGCCCCCAGGAGTCAAATGAAGATTGAATCGTAAAATGCAGGACCTACATTAGTTCCACAAATGACAATGACACCAGGAGGTCACGTTTAAGCTCTTCTTATCACACATTTCTTGATTCATGTTTCAATTCCACTTTCAAATTTATTGAAGGAATATTTGATGAATAGAAATGTCCTCGATGTAATGCATGCAGTCATCTTTACGATCATGTAGTGAGTGTATGTACACATAATATGTATCGTCAACAATGAGCAACATTTTAATATCTACTTACTATCTTACACAAAAACATTTTTTGTTTTCAGGGCCAGATCCAGAATAGTCAAATGCAGGGATGAACAGAGTTTTCGCAGTGGACATGATAAATTATATCTACAACACTTCAAGAACACAATGGCCATACTCCTTAATGCAACAATATGTATCAATAGTTGCCCCCAAATCGAAATATATCCGATAACGTCTGTTAAACGCTGCAATATGCTAAATTCGGTTCGGGAATGCCAACAATTCATATTTGACATTTAGTTGTTATGATTGATGAAACACATTGTTACTATTTACGGCGACAAAACGGCTGACATGCATGGTCAGTACTATTGAGAGAGATGTCTCAGCTGGGATTTCTGAGGACAATTAAGTACACGGACAATACATGTATAACCTCAATCCAACCAGGATAGCTCGTCAACAGACAACTACGTTTATCCACGAGACAAGTATATGAATGGCGAAGTAACGCAACAATAGTGTACATGTACATGTGGCTTAGTAGAACTTATACAATGTTTATTTGATTGATGATATGACTTTTTCCCTCATGAATAAATCATGTTAATTTAATTTTGATTTCATACTTACACTGGCCTTACCTAATGAGTGTCGTCATGATGCTGAAGTAGATAACCTGCGGAATTCAATTTCTTTACTTTGTGTTGCTTTTTTGTATAAGACATGTACTTAGCTTGAACAAACACATGTCTAACTACACACTGCAATATTCATTTGGCATTGCAATCAACCTACAGATCAATAGCAACTACTCTTTTGGCATCAAGCGCCTTACTTTTGACTTGTATTGATAGCACTTGTGACGCGAAAGTACATTTTAACCGTACATTTTCTTTTAACCGTATATTTTCTTTTAACCGTATATTTTCTTAATCTATTCTGCCAAATCGTTTCCCTCTCTCGTCAGTCTAAACAGTTTTACAATACCCAATATACTTTTAATTCATGTTAAGGGTATTCCAAAAGTATACAATGAATACATATATTTCATTTCCAAGTGTGGAAATACTTCTATTTGAAATCGATTTGCTTCAATTCAAACCTATTCATGATTGTGAAAGACCTAAATAAATAAAATGTTAAAGCAAGTGTCAGGAAAAATCAATTCATTTACGCGACAAGTTGACGCCAATACCCAGCTATTGTTAGGGGCGTTTTATGATACACATAGAAAGACTGTGTGGTCCTGTGTTGCACATATGTCATTGATCCGTGTAAATATCTGAAGATACATGTATCTTGACTCTGGAAATTATCCAATACAACGATAATACGTGCACGCCTCTTGTATGCTACTGGCATTTAGGTTTTATTGCTATAGGCATGTCAGTGTAACTTTAACTGCGAGAAGAAGGCCTTAGGTTAATATTGAGTTCGATGTTATGCTGGTGCCATCTTCACTTTAGACATAATCAGTGACACAGATCATCTAACAGTTTCGGAATCATTTTGTTTTTAATTTTACCACGTTCTTGTAAATTCATGGAAACAGGGTCAAATTCCAAATTTCAAAACACAACCTCATTAACCCGAACCAGAATGGCTTCGCTCCAACCGGCAAACTTTTGACAACATTTTACATTAAGAACAAGATGTTAAAACAGCACAGGTGCACAAACAATACACAATACATATATTTATTGATTTCAGTAAAAGTTTTCACATGGTTTGGCTTAAGGGCCGTATCAAACAGATTCAATACAAAACCTTTAAGGGACGTATTCTTAATTTCCATTACTAACAGACACCAATATTCCAGTAAAATTAAAACACCTGCGAGTTCGGTTGCAAAAGCGCGGTGACATCTACAGGTAACCTATCTTCCTATTGAAACATAGTATGTTTATCTTCTAATTATAAAATTATATGCCGTAAATAGAACACTATTTTGAAACTGCATGGTTATTGTATACTATCGACTATCGTATGTACACTGAACAAGAAGATAAAGTCATCAATATCCCCGCCCTTTTCAATATGTAAAATCATTTAAATCAAACAATCTGTCATATTTCTTATTATACTAAAGCCGCCTCCGTTCTCTAGCGGTAGAGCGTCCGCCCGGAAAGCGGAAGGTCCGGGGTTTGATCCCCGGACGCGTCATACCAAAGGAGGAAATGAATATAGATTGCCATGTTGTCTGACTGTAGATATGATTTGTGATCATGCTTAGTATTCGTGCTTCAGGGTAATTATTATGGTCTTCAATCATTCCTTCTCTGGAGATCTGTAGGTGATGCTTTCACACTGATGGAAGGAAGTCATTAAACCCAAAAAATTCAACTCAACTTATATCATATATTTTCTGCTTTGCTTTTTCATACTGCTTTAAATATTTCAGGTTCATAACATCTCTGGCGTTTTGACTGGACAATAACCTCTTAAATGTATACAAATTAGGCCATTCATTCTTGTAAGCAATTGCTAGTATTCAAGTCTATGTTTTAACAAATAATGAAATTCGCCTGCAACTAAAGGAGAGTTTCAACTCAGGCGTAGCATCGATCGCAATGTCGCGCGCCGTCACAGTTGGAAGTTGGAAGTTATGCGAGTGTGAATGTGAGGACCTAATTGGGTTTTTTAACTGTTCGAGCATTTAGGGGTTTTGTATGCTTAATATGGATACTTGGGACTCCCAAATGAGTTCGAGACAACCAGGATTTCGACACATCCAATTCGACAGATCCGAGGATAAATGATGTTGAATATAATAGGAATCGCATGAAACGGTTGGTGCATTCGCGACAACCATGAATTCTACACATCTAAGTTCCACAGAAAGAGGTTCGACTATGTCAGGAGAAATATTTTTCGTGTCAAAATCTTTATGAGCCAGATGTACATTTACATCACACCCTGTATAAGTTGTGTATCCCTTATGCGATGCTTGTTTTATCTTACACGCCTATTGTGTGTACAATAAAATGTTGACTAAAACACTCCTATCTGTTGTCATTGTTGTATTTTATTGCCTTTTTTTCATCTCTCAACAAATCACAGTATTACTGAGAACTTGCTTTTATTACGTAAACACATGTAATTTGCTGTTTAAGAACATGAATGAGCTGATCAGAATTGCTCCTGCTTTACATGAACCAGTGAAACAAAACGGCCGCTGGTGATGATCGTTTTGTTGTTTTCCATGTACTTGCATTTCGTTCCAGTTCTTGAAAGTAATTCTCACGATGACCACGTGTCAACCTCACGTGTCAAACTCACATTTCGGTGTGAATCTTTTCATCACTCCTGTATACAACCGGAATGACAACACAGAACCAAAACTAAATGAACCTATTCATAACAGTGCAGAAGTAAAACATATCTGACCACAGTGTGTAAAGATAATGGCAATCTAGCCTTAATGTCTGTATATTTATTGTTTTGCCTTTGCATGGTAAGGTGGAACAAGTGACACGTGTACCTTCTATTAAGTATGCAGTCTTTAACATGCTACTCAGTTAGCCTTAGAAAAGTGATGAAGTATATACACACACACGTTGTGGAAAATAATAACTTTTGTTTTATTGTTGATGTATTACTACAATTGTCCTTGTTGCAATGGTAATGGAATCACCTGTTTTTGCTGCCATGACAACAGATCATAGAACACAAATGTGTAGTTATTAATCATTACCCTCCAGCCGGTAGGGGGCTCAGGGAATAGCCCCATTAAGAGGCTGAGATCCTCGTGGTCCAGTCCTGACATGGTAGACAAGACATTGTTGAAGCTTTCGTCAGGTGTTTTGGTTTTGGGTTTAGGGCAACTAGATTCCACACGTGCCTTACTTGAAATGAATGTTATTGGTCATGTTAAGAAAATCTGCAGCAACGAACTGTGGGCATTGAAAGTCATTTAAGGGAAACGATCTCACCTGGCTGTGCTTCCTTTTCACAAGGTTAAACGTATTCGCCTTCCACGGTCCTGCGGTTTTCAAACCTGGTAGTGAGATAAATATTCGTCTGCAAGAACTTGGAACACTGTTTTAATCCCACTTCCTATTTTGCTGCAATTCTTTGAGTGTGCAACTCTAGGTCTGTCAGCAATGTCTAGTTTGAATTATATGGCGTAATAAGTGGCATGGATCAGTGCCATTTATTCATATTTAATCTTTCTTGATATCAATATCTATGATTGTTATTTGAGAAAAGGGAAACTATTTCTAAGCTAATTGGTAATCCCATTTAAAAACAAATACGATGCACGGTATGCAGATTTTATATATACATTCCAGCGACCTAAAGGTGTAAGTTATGTTTTAGGTATATGTACACTATTACGTGTGTAACCTTTATGTTTTGGAAATGAATCAACAGATAATGTACTCGTGTGAGCAGTGACGTGTCATAACAAGAGACATGTATCAGAGTCCTTTATTTATCTTATGTTTCGTTCATTTTTTGTCACCAACGAAAATATGGTTTCTGATAAGAATTTGTGGATATTGATATATGGTTTTTTTTGGTTGGTGTATCCTGTTTGTTGAGTGGTTAAACTTGTTATGTTACCACATCACTTAATTTCTTTTTGTAGTCTCTCAACATGACATCAAAGCTGATTTTCTTTGATGGAACTGAAAAGAAACAATGGTTATGTGTCAACTCTTATCAAACCCAATTCATTTCCAGTTCTTTCTCGTTAATGAAATGTGTCCATCTATTCTATTTATGTACATATAACACTTCATGCTCATACCAAACAAACTTATGCATAATAAATGAAACGGCGTCACAACACGATAGCTGGTTCATTCATTGGTTATTCTGCCATTAAGTCTTTAACAGGGTCAGTAATTGCTCAACATTTTGCAGTAATTATGAAGAAGAAGAAAATTGTTTTATTAAAGTGTCACATGCTGCAGTACTAAATATATGGACATATAAACATTTCATTAAAAAACAGCACCCGGCCAGTTGGCCTACGAGACACTAATTACATAATGGTACATTTAAAATATTTAAAAAAATAAATAAAAAAAAAAATAAAAAAAAAATAAAAATAAAAAAAAATAAAATAAAATAAAAAATTAAAAAAAATAATTAAAAATTAAAGAAAAAAAAAAGGGAAAATTATTTGCAACTTTGTATATTACTACACCCACACTCACACCGATACACCCACACACACATCCGCATTAAAATCCCGCTCAAAGCATTCAAACAGGTAAGCATACAAACAGGTAAGCATACAGGACGCTCACAGCAATCTCATACAGGACACTCACAGCAGTTTCATACAGAACACTCACAGCAATCTCATTCAGAGCACTCACAACAATTTCATACAGAACACTCACAACAATCTCATTCAGAACACTCGCAGCAATCTCATACAAAACACTCACGGCATTCTCATACATGTCATACATTTATACACATATGCGTCCATATACACACAACTTTATACATCAATCGTGTATACTAACCTACATGTATAACTAGCATACATACTAACATACCAACCTATATACATACCTATATTCATCAAACATAAATCAATCCTTATTATACATACACAGGTCCATCCATACCTATGTCCGTTTAAACACACCTCAATCCAAATATACTAACACACATACGACCATACATCCATACCTATATTCATCCATACACATATCGATCCATATGTACATACACACATACAACCATACCTATATCCATCCATTCACACCTCAGTCCATATATACATATACATATACACATACAACCATACCTATATCCATCCATTCACACCTCAGTCCATATATACATATACATATACACATACAACCATACAAGTGTCGTACTGAATACAGTATGAACATACATTAAATACAACAGATGATATAAATGAGAGGCACTGTGTACTAACGTACATAAACACACCCGCCTACACACCTACGTGCATATATAAGACAATGCATAACATTATGGATGGGATAAAAAGTAATTAAAAATAAAAGCTAACAGTTTATATAAAGTTTACGGCGCCTGTACATTCTGTAGACAAGGGAGGCTAGGGATTTACTTATACATGTATACAATTATGTATACAGTAGTTTGAATCTTTCACGCTGCATCGTGACAACTCATTAGATTAGTAGCAAATAATAATAATAATTATATTTCAACCAATTTATTTCATTAAGAATATATTATATCTTTCTGAAACATCCTTCTTAGATCAGAATTTCGAAAGGTTCAAATGATACGGAATACACAATGTTTAAACAAATCAATGCACCATGCTGTGCATACCGAGAGTATTTGTTCTGTCAGAGGATGCGTAAATGGATTCAACAACAAAAGTAACCCAGGCATCGACTTCCCCTCCATCTGTAACAGGTGAACATGTAAAACATAATTATAAAAAAGATCAAAACCACACGAAGAATCATTTTTAAAAAAGTTTATTCGTGTGTGTTGTGAGCGACCATCTAAACCAGTACCTTGTGATTTCAAGGTTATAACATATGCATATTAAGGACGGGCCAATTTAGATTTGGGGGTGGGGTAGGGGTGAGATTTGTGATAGGGACCGCATATTTTCTTCTGCTGCTTTATGACAGGGGTCACAGAAGCTATGAATATCCACATCCTTGATGTTAAACATGTTGGTTTTACAGGCCTCCGTCGGATGAAAGGAATACTGTCTGTCAATAACTACTTAATACAGATACAAATTGTGTGAATGGCGGGTGCTACCGGTAGGGCAGGACATGCTGACTCTTTTCGCAATCACCTGGTGTCATCCCTGATGTTTAGTGGTCCATTCATGTAATTTCCACAGCTATGTGCCCTCAATGCGAAGTGGAATCTGTTTCAGTGGATAATCAAGACTGGTTATTCTCTGGGATTGACGGTTTACATTTACAAAGCTGAAATATACAAATCATGAGAACTGATTGTTCCATTCCATTCATCCTGCAAAGACATCCAATTGGAAGTTGCAACTGATTAAAAAATCAACGTTTATACAACATTTATCTGTCAACATGATATGTTAAAAGTTGAACCCCAGGACCAACTGCATCATGTTGTCATCACGAATCGTATTCTGGTGGGAGCCATATTTGATAGTGAGTCAGTTAATATTTTACGTCACCTCGGCAATATTTTAGCCTTATCGTGACGACCATATTTAATAAAATCAGAGTAAAGTGCAACAACGAATCTAGCACATTTGGATCATGTGTGAGGTAACCAAAACCCCAAAACCCTTTTCCATAATGATGACAAAATCTCTGCTAAAGGCAATCTGTCGTACGATTCCGACTTTAAATAGTGAGGATACCAGGTTTTCCCGAAAATGTGACGGGATCCGAACAACAAAAGGTTGCTCCCAACGCCGAGGGTTTACATTGTTTTAACCAAACCCGAGGCACAGTGTTTTTACTGAAACGATAATTTAATTTTCCAGAATACATTTCATGAACCTTAGGAAACGGGAGTAAAATATATCTTGCTAGCGTACATGTATTTGAAAGAGACATTCCTAAAAGCAAAAGTGGATCACTCACTGCGCTACTGATACGAAGCTTGTAGGTTCGATGCCACTGAAATATAAGTTACATTTGTCTTTTGATTTAACATTAATCCGCACATTTCCTGAAGTTATCATTATATTATGTGCTCTATGAATTCTGTTTAACAGCTAAATATATCTATTGGAGTGTGGGATTTTCTATGGAATATCCCTGGGATAGAAGGATACTCTGGAGATAGAAAACAAGGCACCGTAAAATAATAGGATGACATCAATATAGGTTGTTTGAAGATATAAAAAGATCAAATGACAATGCGATGAAGTCAATGGAGGTTTATGAATCACATATAAAACATGATACGCGGTTTCAGGGGTCTCTCTTATTTTCTGTTTCTATGTTGGTAAATCAGTGGAACGGGGTTAGCCATTTTACAATTATTGAAG